GGGAATGATAGTTCCTCTAGAGCCTCTTGTGCATAAGATGTAATTTCCTTTTAGAAAAAAGAATTTCATATGGATAGAAACATTGTGATAGTGCCTCCTGAAAATTCTTGAAGATTAAGAGGTTTGTTTCTTGTAAAGAAGCGGTTCCCATAGAGATTTTGGGTTGTTCTCCTTTTAGTTAGAGAGAAAGTCAGTTTCTCATTGCTCTTGCGTCTCTATCTGGTGCTTTCGGTAATAGTTGTCAGAAGTAAAGATAAGGAAGGGAGAGTAGTTTAAAAAGGTTAACTGGTGTCTTTGGTAATAGTTGTCAGAAGTAAAGAAAAGAAAGAGAGAGTGGTTTAAAATGGTTTGCATGACTATGTTTTTATCGAGGTTTGTTCCAAAATTTTTGATGCAATTTTTATTGGTATAGTGGATTTTAGTTTGCCGTGCTCGTGGATGTAGCTTTTTTTGGGTGAATCATGTAAATCTTTGTGTTCTTACGTTATGTGTGTGATACTTTATTTATTGTACTTTATTTGCCAAAAAATAACCCGTCAGATTTAGAGCTTCCACGCACAACAGAAATACGCCTAAAACTGTTACATGAAATTCAAATACAATGATATCAAATCAAATACATCGTGGAGTAGCAAGAACATAAAGAGGATATTTTCGGTGTGCAGTAATCCCTGAGGATTCAGCCATGTCTAGACCACCAAGGGGCACCTCCCACTCAAAATGTTGGATCAGATTGGCCGCGGCGAGCACAACAGTGTGTATAGCAAATAAATATCCAGGGCAACTCCTTCGTCCTGCCCCAAATGGTATGAACTCGAAATCTTGCCCCCTGAAATCGATTGTACTACTCATAAACATCTCCGGCAAGAACTCCCCTGCTTGATCCCAGCAATCGGGATGTCTTCCTATGGCCCAGGCATTGATGTAGACTCTTGTCTTAGCAGGGATATCGTATCCGTCGATCTTGATACCCTCCTTCGATTCACGTGGAACCAAGAGGGGAACAGGAGGATGCAACCGAGGGACCTCCTTGATTACAGAGTGAAAGTATTCCAACTCGGGTACTTCATCTTCATAGGCATTAAGCTTGCTTTTCACCCCCATAACTCGACGAAGTTCCTCTTGCTTTCCTCATTGCTGCTGGGTTCGTTACGAGCTCGGACATCAACCATTCTAGAGTTGTTGCCAACGTCTCTGTTCCTGCTGAAAACATATCCTGCACAATAGGAGAACCTGAGTTAGTTATCAGACAGAGGCTTTTACACAAGGGAAAACAAATTTTTGTGTGGAAGAGAACAAGTATAATAGCTTTGAGGTTATCCAATGTGAGGGGAATATCCAGTATGTAATCTTTTTGAGCTTGCAGTAAAATGTCCACAAAGTCTTCATTTGTGGTTGTAGCCTCAGAAACCTCTTTGCTCTTGTGGTCTCGAATCACTTTGTCGAGGAAACAGTCTAGCTCTCGAAAGTTCTTCTTGAGCCTGGCATGAAATCCAGTGAGGATATCAATCCACCCCATCGAGGCAAATAAATCAGCAGCACAGAAGCTACCCACCAAGGAATTTAATTCCTGTATAATCTTGTAAAATCTGTGCTCAGTTTGATCTCCTTCAGAGTAGCCCAGAGCTACTCTACAAATTATGCGGTTTGCCAAGGTATAGAATATCTTACTCAAATCCACAGGGTCTCCATTAGAAGAGCCAGAGATGGCACTAACCATGGCCGCCACCTCCTCTTCTCTTACTGACTGGAAGCTCTGTACCGTGCAGCTCGAGTACGCAAATCTTCCGAATCTGTCTCCAGTACTCGCCGTAGGGAGAAAAAACCACATCAGTCCCACCGTAGAGGAGTTGCTCAACAGCAACAAGGACTGGTCTATTGGCAAACGCCAAGTCTTGGGTTTTCATTACCTCCTTAGCAATCTCTGCAGAGGAAACCACTATGGTTCGTACTCTGCCCCCCTTTAAGAACGTGAGTACTGTTGCGAGAGGCCAGCTAGTGACTGATGGGGTAGCTCCCCGAGCTGATGTAGGTTTCCGATCACCGGAGAACAGCCAGGTCTGGTGGCAGGTTTAGTCTTCTGGCTTTCCTATTCAACAGGATTTGGATCACTGCAAGAATTGCTGAGAGTACAAGGAGCAGTGGCCAAAAGCTAACCATTTTTGTGCATAATAGCTCTTGTGCTATTAGTGTTCATAAATAAATACTGTGGTGCGTTCCCATGGCCGGCCATGGGATTCATGGCTGGTGTGTAAAGAAGTTTCACATGTTTGTTGTCATCACTCTTGAATTGACATATTTTTTACTGCTTATATGATCCCGAGGGAGGATCATATGGCATATTCACTCCCTCAAGCAACACCCTATCCTTGTCTTCATTTCTTAAATGAGTAAGACCCTATTTTAGGACCCAAACTTCCTCCACCTCGCAATCCTATCAAGAATAGGGAAATTTATCAATATACTGAATGATATATTAACTATTTAACAATTTACTCGTTAAGATGTATTCCAACGATGATCGTGTATTTACTCATTGAGTTGTATTCCAACCATTGGTCGTGTATTCTTTTATGATTATTTTGAAATAAAATTAAAATATATGGGTAAAGTTTTAAATAGTCAATCTCCTATGTGTAATTTGATAAATTTCTCAAAAAAATATAAAATAAATATGATAAATAACACAAAAGGTCAATAAATAAAATTTCTTGTACAATCAATATGTGCCTTACTAATCGCACAGGTTTGAAACCATCATATATTTGTGCTCTAAATCTCAAAGTCCATTTCTCTTAATTATTATTTTTAAAAAAAAAAAAATTCACCCACTGATCTTACTAAGATTATGTTAGAGTGTGTCACAAAAATTTGAGATCTAAAAGTCCATGTCAGTGGATCTTTTGTTCAGGTGAGTAAGCGTATAGTATGTTCCTACGGTAACACACATAACTAATATGTTATAACGTATATGGACAAGTTTTCAAATTTTGGGATTGCCGTCCGTGATATTTACTTAGGATATAATAATGAGGAGCAATGATTTCATGCAACCGTTGTATAGTAATATGATGTAATAATTTTAAAAAATTATCTTATGGCTATTTGTTGGATCCAAATTTTAAAATATACACTCTTTTCATTCTAATGAACAATCATAAAAAAAGAAAAAATTGAAAACACAATCTAGAAAGTACTTTTTTAGCCCAATTAACATAAACCGTTCATTTTAGTGAGATGCTTAGATCTAGGCCATAGAAGGATTTATTTCATTTCCAACTTGTTTAGATAGCTTTATTATCATTAGATGAACAATGTTAAAAAAGGAAAAAATGATTTTGAGTTTATAAAGGTTAAGATTTTGAAATTCAGAAAATGAATGGTCTAGATTCGTTTTTGGAGGAGACTCATTTTGACCATATCTAGGGTTCAAATTGAAGTTTTTTTTTTTTTGGGGGATTGATTATTGAGATGAGGTTTTTTTTTTGGGGGATTGATTTTTGAGATGAGGAGAGTGTGCATGCAAAATTTGAGGTCATACAAATGTTAGAGATTGTGGGAACATAGAAGGGAGAGAAAATATTTACGTGGTTCAGGCCGAACCTCACTTCCACGAATCCAAAGCCCCAACCGGTTATATCTTCATTATATTGGATGAATGTTTATATTAATAAGTTCTTCTATATATAGAGGACAATCACACAATTACATGAGATAAATATGGTATGATAACTTGATGACCAAGTAACTTGGTCTCTATCTTCTAGATACCTAACCTTATCAAGATGTATATACATATATACCCATAATGATGTATATCAATATGAACCCAAGATATCTATATCCCAACTCTCCATCTCAAACTCAAGATGCACACAAAGCAGTTGGAGTTTGAACAAGATTAAGTTGCCAAAAAAAATCACATGTTACTATGTTCTTCCAAGAAACAACCTTTTTTGGGCTCTCAATTTTCTTCTACTCTCTATTTTCTTCTAGAGACTTTTTCTCTGTAGCGTCTGCCAAAAAACAACCTTTCTTGGGCTCTCTAGCGTCTTTCAAGAAACAACATTTATTAGGCTCTCTACTTTCTTCTCTGAAGATTTCTCTCTATAGAGGCTTTTCTTCTTTCTTCTTTCTAGAGGCTTTCTCTCTCTAAAAGAAAATGATTTTTCTTTCTTTCTTTTCGAAACATCCCTTTGAAGATCTCTCTCTTCAAAGGCTTCTCTTCTTTCTTTTTTCTAGATAAAGTTTTTCTTCTTTGTTTTTTCTAGAGGCTTTGTCTCTGTAAAAGAAAAGCATTTTTCTTTCTCTCTTTTCGAACGATCCAAGATCGGATAACGAAACACTCGACAATCATCACACATGATGGAGCACCGGAAAACGCCATCATCAAATAAAATCAATGAACGAAAAGCTTGATCATTAACCAGGATCGAGAAATTCGATCATCTTCATCTCCTCATCTGGAGATAGAACTCTTGATCAACAACTAAGACTGTGAAATTCGATCATCTTCATCTCCTCATATCATCTCCATATCTCCTATTCTCCCCCTCAAGTTGGGTGTGGATGCGAAGAAACACCCAACTTGCAAAATAAAATTTTTTTCTTTTGAGTACAATCGTATCAAAAAAAAAAATGCTAATGAAATTGGGCTTCTAGATAATTAAAAAAAATACCACTTTTTTCTTTCTTGCGAGATCACCACCGATCAGTTTTGTGCTGGAGCATATTCTCTTGACATCGTATTTGCTAAAACCTCCACCCGATGCCGCCTCTCACACGCAACAATTCCGACCAAATGGCCGACTTGCCACAGGAAAGCCGACAGTACCAAACGAAAAACCGCTTTCTGGCTAGAGGAAACAGTTTGCCGACGTCGACCCACGACCCGGGGCATTACCAGGAGCTTCTTAAGCGGTTGTGGGAGCTGGAGAGGAGCCACTCTGAGTTGAAGGAGCAGTTCCAGAGCTTAAAGACGGAGAGGGAGTAGCCAGAAAATGGGGATAGGTGGTTTTCCAGTGGACGGAGAAGACGAGATTCCGATGAGAGGGGAGGTTCTATATTGCTGGGTTTTTATTCGAGGAGTCGAGAACCTCTATGCATGGATGGACTACGAAGCCATCGGGCAGAGGGCCATGGAGCTTCTCATCGATGAGAGGCACTATGGATTTGTAGAGAGGATCATGGAGAGGTTGAGCATGGGCCACTCATAGTCAGGTCAGTTCCCCTTTAAGAAAAGGTGTTTACTGCCATAGTAACCGAAACCCCATTATATGAAGATGGTGAGATCAATGGTGTTATCACTGTTTCCAGTGATGCTGCCCCTTTTAATAGCTTAAACACACAAAATTTTGGCCCAAATAGCCAGAGCAGGGATTAAGTTGACCGTGACCCTAGAATTCGCCCATGAGCGATAGGCTAGAGAGACCATCGCTCATCAGGGGGAGAGGGTATTGAAATTTTCGGATAATGCAGATAGGCTAGGTAGAGCGGCTACGATGACGTCAGATATGAATATGAAGTTGAAGAACCTTGCTCTGATACCATGTTAGAGATTGTGAGAACATAGAAGGGAGAGAGAATATTTATGTGGTTTAGGCCGAACCCTTACTTCCACATATTCAAAGCCGGCTATATTTTCATTATATTGGATGAATGTTTACATCAATAAGTTCCTATATATAGAGGACAATCACATAATTACATGAGATAAATATAGTATGATAACTTGATGACCAAGTAACTTGGTCTCTATCTTCTAGATACCTCACCTTATCAAGAGGTATATACATATATATCCATAATGATGTATATCAATATGAACCCAAGATATCCATATCCCAACAACAAATACCACAAACATGATTCTCTAGAAGTGTCGTTGCATTATACTATGATACAACCGTTGCATTGG